CTGTAGGTGACCCTGCTTTGGCAGGGGGGTTGGACTAGATGACCCACAGAGGTCCCTTCCAACCCCTACCATTCTGTGTGTGATTCTGTATTAGGCAATACTCTGCCTGTGTTGGATTCTGACCTCCACATGGAAACTCCAGCATCTAGAAACATCCTGGGTCTTTGGATGTATGGAAAACCTGCAGATTTGCATCAAATCTGGGGATAAAGCAAGAACCGGTTTGTATCTACCATGGCAGAAAAGTCTGTTGTAAGCTTTTCTTCTAACTGAAATGGAAAGCGGGAGATGAGATTGCAGCATTTTGTCATACACATTACATTCTAATCTAATGCATTTTTCGGAAGATGTTTGTCTACCTTGTCTACTAGTCAGGTGCATGTACAAGCACAAGTACCTTTGGTCCAGCATCTCCCATGCCCCTTGGGCCTGCTGGTCCTGGGGGGCCTGCTGGTCCTGGAGGTCCCTGGTACAGCAGAGGAATAAAGTATGTTAGTAGTTATCCTAAAAGAAGAGTACTTATGTTCTTCAACAAAGAAGAGAATTTCAGCAATAGTTACTAATCTCTTTGGTTTTGTTGTGTTTTGTCAAGTTCTTCACATTTCTGATGCGTACTGAGCAACAGTCATCCTCAGTCCCAGGCAGAAACCTGAAAAGACTACCAGAGCGGTGGAAAAAAAATCTAGCTCTTGACTTAAGAACATCAGAGTTGTTCTCAGCTCAGAGAAACCAGTGAGAAGGCAGACATTGCTCCACGATTCATACACTGTAGACGTTACACATCTGGGATACCAGAGCTAACCCATCTTAATTCGGGGGTTGGGTAACCCTAACATACTTGGGTGTACTTGTGTTTGATAGTCTGTTCTCCTGAGCTCTCTGCTCAGTCCACCACAGCCCCTTCAGCTGCCCTTCATACTGTTGGAGGCATCCCCAGGCTCCCTTTCAGTATTCATAGGGCAGATGTCTTTGCCCCATCATGCTGCAGAGACCTAGCTACATCAACCTTGTCCGCGTCTGCCAGTGGTTTACAAAGTTGGTCTCTCCAGCTCATGGGGCATGGAAAGGCAGCCCAAGAAGGGCAAAGATGCACGCTGCAGCACAACAGAACCTTCACACATTTCATGGACGTGTACTCATGTGTCAGCAAGAAACACAACCAGTTTTTACTGAAGCCTGAGACTGAGTTGCAGAGAAACATGACTTTTATGGCAGTTGCAGATGGGAATCCTAGAGCAGACATGATTTCAGGAACACTACTTCAGAGCAAAGCTCTTTTTTTTTTTTATTGTGTAGTCACTAATAGAAATGCAGGAAGCATATACACAGAAGTTTGTCGTCCTGTGACTGGGCAGACTACAACTGGGTTTTGTATAGTTTTATTAATCAATGGTTACCAAACCAGGCTTCTCTTGAATTCTTTGATTAATTAAATAAAAAGTTTTCAGCTTCTCACTGACCTCTTTGATTCTGTATCTACTAACACTGCTTCTTCATACAGTTTAAACAGATATTTTTACTTGTAAAGCTTAAAACTTCAGTTCCTATGAGGCATTTTAAGGTCTACTAGAAGTTTGTCAGCCATCTATTTGCATCACTGTCTTCTTCATGATTGCCTTTGCATTTGCCTTTCATTTTTATTCGGGATGACAGTATGGTTTTTTCATTTGTTTGCATGTCCTCTGTTTACTGGGTCTGGGTCCGTTACTGGCACTGCTTGAACCTCCAAGGAGTCTTGAGCTGGTCTAGTGTCCCTGTGTGCTGTGAAATGTGTCAGGCACATGGCATTACACCAGGAACTCTGAGTGAATTCTCTGAACAATTCTGATCCCAAAAGACCTGCCCAGAATCAGTTTGAATGACAGGAAATTGGAGCTGAGCCGTGATTTACTTGGAAGCACTCAGGACCCGCTTCAGTGTATTTGGGAGTGTCTTTATGGTTCTAGTTTGAAATAAAACTGGATTACAGACATAAAGAAAATAGTGCTAATGGAAGTTTGACATGTGGTGGTTGAAGGATGGCAACGGTATATTCACTTATAGTGAAAGGTTGGTCAAACATGTCTGTGTGGCTTTGAATGACTGAAATTTAGGATGATATGCCCTTGTAATGGAATGTGCCAGCTGGAATACTCAGGCACTAATTCCCTCTGGAGCTAGACACCAGAAAAGCAAGGAGGGGTGGAAATCTTCAAAAAGAGGATTTAACCCCCAGGTGTGAAAAGCAGCTGAAAAACCAAGGAATTGAAGACTGCAAGATTTGGCCAAGCAGATGTTATTAGAGATCTTGAACAAGGAACAGTAAAGAAAAGGGAGGGAGGGAAGGAAAATAATTCAAAGCAGTGATTATATTAAACATGTATGAGCAGCCATGAAGATTTTTATGGAATGACACAGTATCCCTTTCATGATGCTGAAAGGAGAACAGTTTATATCTGGTGCCTGTGGAACTGGCACTGTATCTAGGACAGGAAAGGACCTCAAAATATATATGAAATATTTAAATTACCTAAAGGATGAAAGAGAAGATTAATTGCACTTAGTTAAGTAACTAATTTTTCTTTTTTTTTTATGAACACAAAGTGCAGAATTAAAATTGCACTTACAGCTTCACCTTTGTGGCCATCGCCTTTTGCTCCACGAGGTCCAGGTAGTCCAGGTAGTCCCCGGTTGCCCTAAATACAAAATTGTAAGTCAGGCATTGTGCCAGTAACTGGATCATCACAATGTAACAATATTAACAAATACATAAGGAAACTATTTAATATCCTTTTGGAAATACAGAATATCAGTTACTAGCTCTTGCAATTTGCTTGTGAAACTCAGAAATTTTTGTGCTTTTTTATTGTTGCTTCAGTTGATCAAATTAAGACTTCAGAAGACTAAGAGTTCTCATTAGGAAATTATTAATTTCTAAATCTGTAGTTGCACACAGAATCTTGAGAACATTGACTTTATCTTCAGCCAATACAAAGTTAAATTTATTTTTAAAAAGTTAAACTTTTATGACTTTGGGGGTAAGTCCTGACATTCGAACTATGAATTTAACAATACTGAAACACAATATGCCACCCTTAAGTAATCATATGCTGCACATTCTGTGCTTCAGGTAATCACATTGGTTCTCTCATACAGTAACGCAAAACTGCATTCTACAAGGGAAAGAAGGAAAAGAGAGATACAAACAGTTATAAGAAATATATAATTTGTCTTAGTTTATCTTAAAATGCTCTGTATCACGAGACAATCACTCCTTCTGTCGACTCTTCCACTGAGTCCCACTAAAGATTTGTGCAGTTGCAAAACTTCAATGCTTCCTTTCACAATCAGAAGAAAAGCAAACAGCAATCTTTTCATCTTCCCTCATTCCAGTGATCATTTTCCTGACATTTAAAGAGAAAATTAACTGAGCTTGCAATAGACTATTCTTCACAGAACCAATAAAGAAAACATATTACTTTGAGGTATCCCTCAAGATATGCTGGCAATCGGTGCTGTAGATGTCCACATGGCAGCATTGCCCATCAGAAATCCTTATTGATACTTGTAGGTCACACATCCATCCCACTCCTAAGCACAGTATCTATACGGCCATACAGGGAGAAGTGTATACCCTCCACTCAGTCCCACAGAACCAAGAAATGTAAATGGACTCTCCTGTAGAGTGTTGAAGGGTCAGTTGTTAATACGCATACAGATAACATATCCTGAAGAATAAGTACATAGAAATAGCAAACATTTCCCTGTCTACTCCAGTACATATAAACTGCTAGAAAAAAGAAGCAAATGACTGAAACGTGCTGTTTCATCAGTGCATTGTGCCTGGAGATTTCTGCAATAACACCATGCTTCAAGAAACCACGAATGAAGTCCTGATAGCAGCTCAGATCTCAGTGGCTGGTCTGTCTGAATACAGTGTCTATGACTGGACAATAAACTGACTCATATTCTAGACAGATATCCAACAAAACCAGACTTCAAGTCCAAATTTCCTGTCCCGTGAATGTCTCTACCATAGGCACAAGTAATCAGATCTTCTTAACGAGCTTAGCCCTGTCAAGGAAAAACGAAAGAGCTGTTTTGGCTCCGCTAAAGATGTACATCACAGGTTTAGGTTAGGAGGCAAATGGACAAAGAAGACAAGGTAGACTCTATGTCCTGGTTAAGATGAAACCCTGAAACCCCTTTAAGATGGAATTTGGGATAGGGATGCAAGTATGTCTTATGGATAAACAAAACCATACAAGGTAGATCGCTCCTGTATGAATCTCTCCTATTCTCCAGTCCAAAGGGATAGTTTCACTGGAAGACTTTAAACACAACATGATCACCAGATCCAAACTGCATCAGCCCTGGAAGATGTTTCTTCAGGTTTCCTAATTTTCAAATGATAGAATTCTAATCCAGTTCTGTGAAAATTTAACCAACAAATGTGCTTCTAGTTCATAAATAGCTTTATGATGTAAAGCCAATTTTACCTCTTCCTCATTTTTAATATCCATAGTTCTTAAACTGTAGATAAAATGAGAAACATTTTAGAAATGTTTAGCAACATTTTTTTTTTTAGCAAGAAGGGAAGTCATGGCTCATGAGTGCATCTCTATTTTTACTTCCAATTCTACTACAATAAAATGGCCATACAGATGTTTTCATTTTATCTCAGCAGACCATTGTAAATACCAAATACATGTTAACACATTCTCTTCTGTAAGAATTGGGATTTTGTCAAGTAGCTGGTTTTGCCATTAGTAACACAGGTATAAATCTACTTAAGTCAAATCTATGGCTAAAAAAGACACAGTTATCTGGTCCAGATTATTTAGTTTTAATTTTTTTAATAGCTGCACCGAAAATAAACAAGACATGGCCCAGGAGCAATTCTGTGATTACTGTTTCCCATGGTTTTGTGGGGTCTGAAAAAGACAATCACAGCGATTCACTCTAAGTCAGTGCACTGGCAACAAGGCAAGTGCCATTGATGTCACAAATGGCACGTGAATTAATTCATCTACTTTACTTTGCCAACTTTTCCAGGGCAGGTTTTAAAGTAATTTTCTGTAGCAGTAATATAGAAATAGTTGCTTCTACACTCTTCCAAAAAAAATCTCAAACAAAACAAACAGAATATGAACATAAATCTTGTGTCCATGGTCGTTTTTAAGAAAAAAAAGTACTGCCATAATCAAAACCTACATGATTAAGTATACAACTGGACAATTAAGTCATGTTCACTTCTTTTTAAAAGAAAAACAGGGTGAAGCAGCAGTCTAGATTATAGACAAAGTAAATAAATTTAGAGGTTTTGAAAATTCAGAAATACAAGCTACCAAATGCATGTGGGTCAATGTGCTATTCAGCATCCTCTGGTAGGTGTACTGGTAGAAGTCTGTCAAGCCAGAAGTAAAGCATTATTGGTATTCCTAAGATGTTATCACACAAAAGCTACTGCATTAAATTGCTTTATTTTGAACTACATTGTATTTGGTACACATAAACTAATTGGTCTCTGAATTTCGGTCTATCAGCTATATTCCCAAGAAATGAAACAGTGGAATTAAGTGGAACATTTTATGTGCAGTCATTGTAAAAGTGAAAAAAGAAGAGATTTACTAAGAAGGTTCCTGATTTCAGTCTGGAAAGGAGATCACAAGAAAGGTACCTTTCCCAAACACTGAAGGAAGTCTTCTTGAACTATTCCCTTATCACAACTGGCAGAAGGCTTATAGAAAGTTTCAACCCAGATTGTGACTGATAGAAGTACAATATCATATCATAAAATGCATTAGAGAGGAGGAGATAAAAGCTGCAAAGCAAAACAAAAGACATCCAGTTTCGGGAGCAGAGGACATGGGATCTGTTCTAGGGACTGTGCTTTGCAGTTTGCTTTTAAATAATATAGAAAGGCAAGTGGCACTGTTTTTTAATGACACCATATTATTCTAATTAGTTAAATGAAAGGCAATTCCAAGGAGCTGAGGAAAAACCGTGTTTAAGGGTTTGAGTAATTTGGTGATAAAATATCAGGCAAAATTCCATGCTGACAACTGTAATGCATTATGCAAGGAGAAAAAGCAGTCATAACTTTCGGTACCTAACAGTCATCCTGAACTACTAGGAGAGAGAACCATTTTTTGAAAAGATCACTTCACTGTTCAACAGTGACAAAACCCCATAAATCTCATCCTTTGCAAATTAATCGAAATCCTTTTCTTCTAACTTATTCCCCATTGGCACAAGGATGGTCCTTGGCCTCACGTTATTCTTCGAGCAGCCTTACAGTGAACTCACGTGTACTACAGAGGAGAATTTTTCAGTCTCTCACTCTTGCAAAGGCTGCAATCTCTGTGTTACCACCGAATCCTCAGTTTTATCTTGTGTGTTGATCTTGCTAGTTAACCACTAAAGGCTTGAACAGTGAGCACAGCAATCCTGCTACAGACTACTGTACTCCATTCTTGGTGTTCAAGATAAAAACGTAAAGGATCTAACCAAGTAAATCCTATTCTGTCACCCATATGTAAATAAGTACTTCCAAAAGACCTATTTTTAAAATTCTTTATTTTGGGTCTTACTTATGCTTTTGAATGTGCAAGGTTGGTAATACTGAAACTCCACTGTTAAAATAACTAATACCTCAATTTATACTCAGTAAAGAGCATATTGCCATACAGAGGTATAAAAGACCACATGAGATAATGAAAGGAGGAAATGAATTTGAAGAGCTACCTTCCTAATGAAGACTTCCCGAGGTAAGTTTGCAAGGTGAGGTACACTGGACTAGTTATTTATTCTATTTTTTGTTTCTTCTTCAAAAGACGGTAAGTTTGTTTTTAAAAATTGACTTAACCTGGAATGATGGAAAAGTTGAAGAACTGGTCAGTTACTTTCCTGAAAAAGTTGCTCAAGTGGTTTCTACATTTTCACAGGAGTTTTGCATATGTCTCGTGTTTCTTTATTTTCCAACTTTTGTCTAAAAACTCCTACCGTTGGTCCCATTATTGAATTTCCAGGAAGTCCATCATCTCCTGGTGGCCCCTTGGGTCCTGGATCCCCCTATACAAAAAGAAACAATTCCAAACCCATATTCATTATTTTCAGTTTTAATTTCTGAAGTTTGAGAGAAAAGAACAAGTATTCAATTATTGAGCTAGATAATATGAAACCAGTATTACTAGAGTAAGATTTTACCGTCTTGATTATGACCTCTCTTATACATTTGCTTCTCTGCAACTGCGTCTAAGAGTTTTTTCTGCCTTGATGATTAACCTGATGACTTTAGTTTTCAACTGAAGGTTGAATATCGCAATTCACTTTCAGTAGCCAGCTTCACCTGTGGCTTCTGCCTACTTTTGCCCACACAAGCAAGGCTGCATAACCTTGTTTCTACCAGAGCAAGTAAGAGAACAGCAAAGAAATTCAAAGACAAGTGCTGACACAGAGTATGTTTAGAAAGGCTACAGATGCAACGGCGCAGCACATTGAAATTGCAAGCTCCATGATCTGAAGACCTGGAAGAAACCGAGTTTTTCCTCAAGTACAACTGTTTGGTAATCTTAGCTCTGTCAGTGGCTTTCCTGGAAAGTAATCATCAGGCTTAGAATTCAAGTTCCTCATGTTATCCCTTCATAGAGCAAAATTTGGCTCCTTCTAGTGTTTAATCTATGGCAACAGATGTTTTACTTTACATTAAGGATCTTGAAAATAAAGTTTCAATTTTCATTGAAACTTTTGCAATTTTAACACCAGCGAGAAAGACAGGCAGAAAACATTCACTAGGGAATGCAGATCAAATGTTCTGTCAAAACCACTGTGCCGCTGTAACTATGACAAAGGAATATGAGAAAAAACAGCTATCTAATGTTACTGTCTCCATATTAGTAACAGCATAATTGTTGTCAAGGGAAATAAAACTCTAATCCCCAAACGTGGGTGTAGCTTAAAATAAATAAATTTCCAGTGGACACAACCATGGCTGGCCAGGAGTTAAGACCTCTATCAACCACCCACTACTACACCAAATACTTAGAGATGTACTAAAAAAGACCTCAGACCATGATAACTCCCAGCTTTGAAAAATATGTAGATTCCCTGCATTAGAAATTTATAACATCTGGCTTCACTCCTGCAGATACCTGGATGTTCCAAGAACACAATTACTAGTAATCATTGTACCACTTGCATTTTATATTTACCCAACAACACTTGTTTCCTCATGTCAGCCACTGCATGTAAAAGCCCTCATCTAAAATTTAGTAAAGAGTTTGGAAAAACTCCTAGACTCCAGTAGATTTGGGCTCATGGACAGTCTGCTATGAAAGTGATACGAACTGTACTGAAGAGAACAAAATCAGAGTGAAAAAGGCAATAAAGTCTAAAAAGTTCTTATTTTTCAGCATGAATTTTATCAATAAACAATCTTGACTCACTGGTCTATTAAAAAATGTCACAGTAACCAGGAAAATGTGAAGAAACGAAACCTGTCTTAATACAAGTTGTGCCTTATAGCATGACACTTACATTTTCCTGACAAAGTTTGGCACATTATTACAGTTTTAAACTGACATAAGAGATACGAGCACCCCAAAATCCTATCCTTTCTTTCTTCTCTGCGGTTGCATTTTTACTCCAGGTGTACCCTGAGCTGCTTGTGTTCCCTTCTTCCTTCCTCCTCCACGCACAAACAAGTCCAAATCACATCCTAGCCCTCTGTGATGTCCTTTTGCCAGGCTGATGAGTACATTGCACATACAATAACTACATGTGCTTGGGGGGGGGCACATATGTTTTTCAGGAAGAAGAAAAATGGGGATGAAATTACCTCAGAGCAATAGGATGTATGTTAGTGATTTTTCTACCCCCAAAACTATCACCGAAGATGAAAAGCATCAATTTTTAATTTTTAAAGTTAACTGACATGTTATAAAAAGAGCAACTATTTTATTCTTAAAAATAGGGTGGTAATGAATTTTCAAACGTTTTTAAAACCTTCAAAGTTTTGCTGAATCCACTTATTTTACTCAGCAGGACCAGTCCCACTCATTTCAGGTACATTTTCCCCATAGAGAAAATGAGGTGGATGTAGCTCTAGCTGTCTCGTACATGACATTTCATTTAAAGTAGTATCTACGGGCCAGCTGTTCACTTGGAAGTGATGTACATTCACCTCCAAAAATCAGCTAGGCTAGCATATAACTCCCTAGAATTACACATAGACACATTTCTGCAGGGATTTACTGCCACATTCAGGACACCTTTAGTCTAAGAAACAAAATGCATAGTAAATTTGAAAAAAAAAAAAAGACGTCAAAGTGATTAATTTCACAGGAGGGGCCAAACCACAACAGGAATGTAATAAGGATTTTTTTTTTACTAAAAAATGGTTTCAGGAGGCAATAACACCAAGTTCAGCATCCTGTTAATGGGCCTCCAAACCCTCTCTGTTAATTCTTAGTATTTTTCAGTCCTTATTTCTAAAATTCAGTCATCTTTGTTACTACAACAAGGAATTTTAACTTCTTTAACTTCTATTCTTTTAATTTTGACAAAAACGTGCATTAGAAATTTTCCAATTTCTGCTCTCCAGCAAACACATATCAGGTAATCACCTTTGGTCCAGCAGGTCCCTGAATAGATGGTCCAGCAACACCAGGTGGTCCTCTCTCTCCCGGTTCACCCTGTTACAAAATGGTATCATCTAGATTTAAACAGACAGTTTCATTTTCTGCACAAGTGGTAAAAGTTTTTTTCAACGTTTTGTATCATAAAAGTATCTACAATATAGACCTATCTACAAAACAGTCAATACTTGGGAAAAAAACATAAATCAATTTACCATTCTTGTGAAAGCTGGTCCGAGTTTCATGCTTTAACTAATCACTGATTGAACCGTGTATTTAATTTTTTAATTTTAATTAATTTTTGTGTCCGCTTACAAAGCCAATGGAATAACCAGAACACTTGCATTATTTCAATTTCCTTATCATTCAGAGCAACAGTAGCTCACAAAATATTATAACAGGAAGCTAATGTTTCAAAGTGAAAATTTGCAAAATGCCCATGGTTAGAATCACTTGGACAACTTAAATTTAGCTTCTCTGTGCTCATACTTAACTATAGGATCTGTAATTTTTACCTGTTCTTTTTCTCCTTTGGACATTTGTGTCATTCAGGACAGAAAATGGAAACATTTCTGCTTTTCCTTTGTTCTGTTAAGTCTCCAAGCATCAGATGCTTGAGAAATTTGCACATTACATAAATTCCACAGATTCTTTTATAAAATACAAATTGGAGGATTATCCTGGAGGAACAAGCTTACTTTTGGTCCAGCTGGGCCTTGTACTCCTTTATAACCAATCAGTCCTTGGGATCCTTTTTCTCCAGGGTCACCCTGATGAAAACAAACCTTATTTTTAATGACAGCAAAGATTCACTTACAACTGGGAGATACAAAAAGAACCAAAACCACAACGATAATGACGCCCATAATTTGAAAGGTATTTAGATGCTCCATTCCAACTGAAATCCAACTCAGTTATAGAATATGCCCCAAATGTCCTAAATCTAACGAGGTGGGAGATGAAAGCTGTCTGTCTCCTAATACATCTTTCCAGGCTTTTAATTTCATATTTAGGTATCTGATTAGTCACCTAATTTCTCTTAGCTCCTTTTCTCTCCCTATCAGTATACTGAGATAATTTGCCTCCTCTTAACTTTAATGAAAACTCTGTACTGAATTTGTAGGAAATCTCTACTGCCCAATGAACTTCAGAGTCTATGTTCATAGTCTGATATTGCTGCACCTGTTCAGGCTAAGGAACACACCTCTTTCTGTTACATTCTTTTAAATCACCAGTTAAAATATAGTTCCTACTTAAGATATAATGAATGAAAAAAATTGGCCAGAATCTGAACTCTTACAAAACAGGTCCTTTGAAAGTTTGTAGTATTTCTCCAGTGTGCATGTCAAGTCATACCTTTTGGCCTACATCTCCTTTGCCAGGGGGTCCTTCTGGGCCTCTCGGACCTTGATCTCCCTTTTCCCCCTAATAGAGATTAGATGGTTAATTAATTTTCATGTAGCTAATTTTATTGAATCAATAGACTTAGGAGAAGCAATGCTTGCATAAACAATTTTCCAAAAAATGTCAGCGAATATCTGATTAATTTTTTTTCCTGCAAAAAATAAAGTACTCTGTCTTCTTAAATCCCTTCCACCTCCTGCATTCATATTGTTTACACAGACAACTATAGTAGTGCCATTTGCAATTGCATCAATCTTTTGCAGGAAGAATTGCATGCAGAGACTCATATGAGGAAGAGAAATGCTTGTAAAGTTATCAGAAAAGGTCTTGGTTAACCAATTATAAAAAAATAACTTATAAGAGGCAGTAATTTTAGGCAACTCTGTAGCCAGAGGTTAATCCTGGCTGTAAATATTTGCCAGAAAGATTACTTCAAATAATTCACAAATAATCCACATAAAACGTTCTATTAAGGAACATTATCTACAAAATATTTATGCATAATATAAGTCAGATTAGTATATTAGAATGTCTGTAGGTAATTCAGAAAGTGAAAAGTAGATTAAAATGAAGTTTAAAAATCCATTTCTGATTTGAGCTGTTTATGGAAGTGACATTACAGAGCCTGCTGCTGATAGGCATCAGTCTGGATGCCACTTCTGTGAGACAGCTTCACACCTCTAAATAACTGCCCTAACGTCACTGTGCTGCTCCCTGCAGGCACCAAGCTGTTCTTTGCACTGTCCTGAATACCCAAGGTAGCTGCTCAGTACTAATATTTTCACTTATAATGAATTATGACAGTGAAGGTGATAGCACCAAGTTGATCATCAGAATAAAGGCAATATGCAAGAGAAAACCCCCCAGCATTCCCAAGTACAAAAGCCACTTGTAACTTTAATACAACATTTACAAGTGGTTTCAACCGTTTGTGATGGTCTCTGTACCAGGCTGACAGGTTTCAGCCACAGCTCACCATCCTGCTAGATGCCCGAAGTCACATCAATTTGAGCATGACTTCTTGGTGTCAGGAAAAACCTGAACAGGCTGTAAGGAACAGGCTAAAGATGCAAGCTATCTGTGAATGGTGAAATTTAACGGTAATCAATAGCCCACAAAAGGCAGGGCAGCTAAACCACTTGCAGATTCAGATGGTAGCCACTCTTAGTAAAGTTTGTTGGAAGCATCTCAGCTAGCCTAGTGTCTTTTCCCTGGCAAAAGCACTTGGCACATGCCCTCCTCCAGGATGAACTCCTGGCCATTGCATACCTGCAAATAACAGTTTGTTCTTCTTTCATCTACACCTTTTACATTTCCTTACCTTTTTCCCTGACTTCCCAGGATCTCCCTGCACCCCTTTCTCTCCTGGGAGTCCTGATAGACCTGTATCTCCCTGAAAGAAGAACAAATAATTATATCTGCATACTTCAATAAATTATTTATTCTGTAAAATGGATCTAACAGTGTGTTAAAATATTAATTAATGATATAAAATATTTTTGCTCAAAAAGGTTGTTATTCCCAGCAAGCTAAATATTCTATAGAGCCAGTAATTTTTGCTACTCATACAATCTAAAATAAGTATTTTAAATTTCCTTCCAAGCACCCCACCTGCTTCTTAAATCTGAGTTTTGTATTAAATAAATTTACAGTTATTCAGTGAGTAAAAACATGACTGAATGCTGTTGGTTATTCTGTGCACAAGAACAATATGATACAAATGCAATTTACTCGCAAAGTCAAACATCTGGGACTTAAGGAATGGTCAGCCAAAAATGCCTAAATGGAGTTGTTGACTGGAGACTAACACCTCGCTGGCTGTACAAACTGGGCTAGGCATTACTTTTAAGACTGCCCACAAAGAGTTGAAAATATCCATAGGAAACAGTCCTGTCAAGCGCTTCTTCCACGATCCTGGGAAAAATCACCAAAACCAAGATGTCTAGGTCATCTTACCCAAGATTTTGGAAGCCCTACTTAAATCATTAAGGACATGGTATACAGTCTTCGAAATGGCAGCTGAAGAGCTGCAGTCAAAGTTTTCAGTATTCAACAACTATTCTAGCAGGTAGGCTGTACGACCACCTCTGTCATACAGACTTTTGGGTTTTCTTCACATTATTGCAGAGGAACAGAGGTAGTAACATTTCTAACAGGCCTTAGAAATACCTCGTCGCTAGATTAGAAAAGATGGGGGAAAACTCTGTTCCAGTTATGGCTGCAGCTATGATTTTAGGAGAGAGGGAGGGAGCTCTAGCGTAGCATTTTGATTTTAAAAGCTAGAACTGCCAAGTTAAGTGAGTATCTGTCACTGAAATTCCCTCTTATTTTGATCATAGTCAATTTATACAAAAAAATCTTCTACGTACTTTATCAGCAACTAGTGAAAGAAATAGAAGACCCTGTAAGGAGCAGTTAAAAATAAAAAAAAATAGGCTCACTTTAAGTCCTCGTATGCCAGTTCCTGGAAGTCCTGGTTCTCCTTTTTGTCCAGGTTCACCTGGTTGACCCTAGTAATAAGAAGTCTTTTGTTTAACCAAGAAACACAACGTAGCTTCATTCATTACTTCCATTATTTCACTAACTGCTTTACACATAGAAGTGGACTTGATGATCCTTACGGGTCCCTCCCAACCAGAGATATTCTACGATTCTATGATTCTAAGTGGTCAAGTTATCAGACAAACAGTTTTCAACTGGAAAATTCTGTTCTTTAAAAACCCCAGTAACTTGTAGGACTGCATCTATGTTATTCAACCTTGCAGTGGGCAGAAAGTCTAGGTGAATCATTTTAACTTTCTCGTTTTTGTTTTAATACATTTTATTTTTTACTTTATACCACTATATGAAAAACTCTTTGGTCACTGAATGAAAAGTGAGTCCAAATAAAGAAAAATCAGAATGTCTGTGTAAGAGAAAGTTTTACCCTCACAATTCTTCCTTCCAGTAGTTCTAAAACAGTTAAAGAAATAGGAATCCCATTTTTCAATTCTGCTTTTAAAAATACTTTTTCACACTAGGAAAATTGCCCTCATACTTAACATGTTTCACAGCTATTTATTTTTCCTTACATTAATATTATCGCTGCTGTAACTGCTATTTCCATGCCAAAGTAATGCCCAGAAGAAAATTACTGTGTTTCTCTCTGCTTTTGCTACAGTGACTAATGTCATCCTTTTGTAAATCAAGATGATTACAAAGCACACTTCTGCTTTACAGTTCATCAGTTCATTCCACTTTCTCTCCTTAGTATTTCAGCAATTCCCTTTGTCTCCTCTTACGATGCTCACCTGACATTGTATTGCTAAGGGCTTAGGCTTTGACAGCAGCAACTGTTTGCCCCACTTTCCTGTTTGCTTCCTGCTTTCCCTCCTTCTGTGTTGCAGTGTCAGCTACTGAGTAGACGTAAGCTCTTTTTTCTTTCCTAGTGTTTCTACCTCTGGTTTTGGTTCTTTCCCATGATGACCACTGAAGGTTGAAGGACAGGCTGAAGAAGTGGTTGGGTCCTGGACTTTGGTCACAACAACTCCACACAACACTAGAGGCTTGGGGAAGGGTGGTTGGAAAGCTGCCCGGCAGAAAAGCACCTTGGGGTGCTGGTCGACAGCCGGCTGAACATGAGCCAGCAGTATGCCCAGGTGGCCAAGAAGGCCAACGGGGCACCCTGGCTTGTGTCAGGAATAGTGTGGCCAGCAGGAGTAGGGAGGTGATCGTGCGTCTGTACTCAGCACTGGTGAGGCTGCACCTGGAGTACTGTGTTAAGCTTTGGGTTTCTCACTACAAGAAGGACATCGAGGTGCTGGAGCGTGTCCAGAGAAGGGCAACGAGGCTGGTGAGTGGTCTAGAGAACAAGTCTTACGAGGAGCGACTGAGGGAGCTGGGGCTGTTTAGTCTGGAGAAGAGGAGGCTGAGGGGGGACCTTATCGGTCTCTACAACTGCCTGAAAGGAGGTTGTAATGAGGCAGGGGTTGGTCTCTTCTCTCAGGTAACTAGTGATAGAATGAGAGGCAATGGCCTCAAATTGTGTCAGGGGAGGTTTAGATTAGGTATTAGGAAAAATTTCTTCACTGAAAGAGTGGTCAGGCATTGGAACAGGCTGCCCAGGGAGGTGGTGGAGTCACCACCCTTGGAGATGCTCAAAAAACGTGTAGATGTGGCACTTCGGGACATGGTTTCATAGGCATGGTGGTGTTGGGGTGACAGTTGGACTTGATCTTAGAGGTCTTTTTGAACATATGATTCTATGATCCTGTGACTAGCCTTAAGTCTCAAAACCATCTCTGGTTTACAGGTAGAATGCTTTAGCTGAACACAATGTGTATGTGGCACGAAAATTGTTTGATATAAACGTGTCTGAAAGATAATTTGTCTATAAATTTGTGTTCCTTTAGAACCCCAAATCCACATTCACAAGGGTTAAGGGCTGACGCTAAGCAAAAGCCATATGCTCCATTTGGGGAACACCTTGATTTTCCCTCAAATAACACCGTGGATTTTCCTCAAAGATTCAAAAGTGAATTGTTATCTCCAATGAAGAGTTACATTTCCATCTCATCAAACACACTGTTGGAAGGCCTGGCCAAGATATGTTGCTTGTTGTTTCTTGCTGGTGCTATTTTTAAAAAATACTGTTAGAATCATTACCTTTGGACCTGGCAGACCAAAACCTTTAGATCCTTTTGCCCCAGGATTTCCTTGTGGACCCTGTATACCCTACAAAGCAAAATAAATGAGTCAGTGCATTACACTCTTCCACATCTGAAATTCACCCCATGCCCATCTTTCAGTTAATAATGATTTTATCTTATCTTTAAAAGAAAACAATTTGCTTGCCTGTTCTCAGGCTTTGTTCTGAGATCTTTATTTTATTTTTCCTTTGTCACTATCACTTGGATTTCACTTATGTACCCAAGTGTAATGACAATTACTGTTTAAGTACAAAACAAATGAGAAGTGTCTCAGTATCTGCATCTAAGCCCTGATTCATTGGGATAGTATGGTCGAAGCATGAACACTTACCTTCTTTCCAAAAAGTCAAAACCCAAACCATCTTTTGGGATGTTTCAGTTTTTCTGTACCCAACTGCTAAAGACTGTGTTCAAGCTTCAAAGGGCTTGAAATTCAGAAGTGGTGGATTCTTACCTTGTGAAACTTTATCTACAATACATCATCATCCAAGCAATTAATTTGATTTATATCCTGTGCAAATTATTATGCAGGTTAGACCAAATTTCTGTTTGCTTGAGTCTAAAACCACACAAATCAGTTGGAATCACTTATATTTACTAGCTTTGCCTAAAGACTAGTTCGATACTTCTAAAAATTAAAAATAACTGAGATTTTTAATGTCTTCACATCAAAATTAAAGCTCTGATACAGTATAAAATGAAAACTACATGTAAATACTCATTACATGTCCAAAACGTAGACTTACTTGGCTTCCTGGATTGCCTGTTCCTGGTGGTCCTGCTGGGCCCTGTGGTCCTACTTGGCCTTGTTCACCCTATAAAAAAGTATTCCCAAGAGCTAAATCGCAATGGTCCATGCTAGCTGATTAACATATTTAAATGAAATAAAGAGTAAAAGTCCCCAAGCTGTACTATCTTGAAGTTTCCTGCTTCTATTTAAGTTAAATGTGTTTGGAATACCTGAAAGTCTGCCTATGGCAACTGATCTAATAAAAATAATACTCCTTCCTACCTACAAACTCTATCTCGTTTATAACATTAGATGATCACAGCTGTAACTTTATTATTAGAAGGATCCATAGCTTATCTTTACATACTGAGATTAATTTTAAAGATTTTTTTCTTTTTTAATGGAAATGTACACAGTTTCTTACACACACCCAGAGGAAAAACTTGCAAATGTAAACAGAACAGCTAGAGAGTATTTTTGAAAAAATCCTTGCCATGTGGTATTGTAATGCTATCGTACAGCTCTTGGGGAGGGAACAGAGGAATGACGGCAGAGGGAATTATGGGAATAGGTGAATATGTGGGGAGGTCATGTGGGTATTGGAAGTGGCACAGATCCATGAAGGTGTCAAAGATGTGTGACACCAGTCCCTAGAAAACAAAAAATAGTTTCACTTATGCCAGAAACACTTATTTACTGAAATGGTCCCAAACACTTACTGCATTCACTGCCAATCACTGCATTCTTCCTATACAGACATGGGGAATAAGATGACTCATTCCTGCACAGGTAACCAATTTTCCTCTAACCAAGGCCTCGAGCAAGATGGTCTGGCAGGTGCCCACCAAGCATATCTGTCACAGATAGGCTAAATCAGACCCCACCACACCACCTAGGTTGGTCTGAAGATTTTGGAGAGCCATTTGACTGGGCAGTGAGGTGAGTAAGTTCAAGTTAAACTTCCCACATCCACAAAGCACTCTCTGCTGATTAAGCTGTCAATAACTTTGGATGGGAGTGCTGTCCTCTCCTCTATACACGTTCTATGTGCATAGAATACAATCCTTAGTGCTCTCAGTCAACATTAGCTTACGCAGAGTGTGGGGCAACAAGGACAGCAGGAGTCGTGGGGACAGGAGGGAAGGAAATGATGGGGAGTAGGAGGAGAGCTATAACACTACATCATGAGAAGGAAGATCTGGAATCATTGACTCTGCTCTGTAGGACATCTGGGCATGTTGCATCAGCCACTCTCTGGGGGTGCACAAGACACAGACTGGAATCTCATCAGACCAAGGGAATTAGAATTGTTCTGGATACCTCTTTGGGGAACTGGACACCAAAAAGTTAACAAATTTCAAAAGCCAGTGTTTCTTTACCTGTTCCAGCTCCGTTAGATTAATTGACTCAAAGGGGTTTTAACATTTTTAAAATATTTAGATAAAATTTGAAGTACTTTGAATACAGTATTTCTGAAATAAATTGAGCAGGAAAAAAGTCCATTTCTTCCCTCATACTCCCAGCTGCATAGAATACAATCCTTAGTGCTCTCAGTTAACATTAACAGGTTCAGCTACCGGTATAGATGACTGTAGCCTATGGAGCTGCACAGAATGGTGTAGTCTGGTTCCTCAGATTCCAGGTAAAACATACTTCTGTATTGTTGTGATAGTGCATTAATAATTCACCATTAATTTTACTATAAATATTATTAACTATAGATATGATTAGAAAAATACTCTGTGCCTCACCTTGTCACCTTTGATTTGTTGACTTGGCAGTCCAGGAGGACCAGCTAAACCTTCAGAGCCTTTTTCACCCTAGAAATATGGGACAGTTTTGTAACAGTATTTGGGAATTTGTAAAGAACAGCATCCTGGACAAACTGGTCATCACAATGCGGATAATCACGAAAAAAAGTATTCCTCCACAAACAAACAAGAAGAATAATCAATGGCATTATCAGTATTAAATGATTCAGTTACAATTCGTAACATGCTTCATCTGCATTCATTGTGTTGTTGAACACAGGACTTCAAAAGGAGAAAATGAAATACTATGAAGAAGGAAGCTACATTTTGAAAATGCTTTAATATGTTTGTTGGTCAGAGAGAGCAGTTCAGAACCTGGTGGAAGGACATGACTAACATCTTTTCCATAAAAGGAAGAAAAATCTTCTTCACTTAGTAGTTCAAGGCTCTAAAGAATCTAAAAGCCACTAAAAAAGAGGGATACATTTTGATGGGAAGCCCAGTTGTGATTTAATCATAAATCTTTGCTTGTTTGTACTCATTTTTTTAAAAAAAAGGAATGTTCACATATATTAACCTAGTAAGTGCCCTTAATGAGGTAACTGTCCATAGAGACTCATACAACCCATCTTTAGTTTCCCAAAAATGGTAAGACAGAATGAAAATGGTTCCTGAATGTTTTCTTCCAATACAGAACATAAATAGCTAAGTAGTCTTTCCTAAGGCAGTGTATCTTATTTATGCTACCAAAAGAAGGTATCTCATTATACACATTATACAAACATGAGAATCATTAACTTACTAGTGTTAGAGGGACTGTACAGCTTTTTTGTAATTATCATGACAGAGTTTCTGAACTCAGAGGGATATTCAGAGAGCACTGTGATTCAGAAGACCAAGATCCATCAGCTGACGTTTTGTACCAGTGGAATGATCAGTGTTCTGAAATAACTTAGACACTACTGCAAATTTGGCCCACAATGTTAAAATAATAATTTCCATAAAACTACCTTTTGGCCTTGAATGCCCTCTCCTGGTAGACCTTTCTCACCTGGCAGACCATCAGGGCCACGTGGTCCCTGTAAGAAAAGAAAAATATATTCAGACTATGTCAGCAATTCCATATTTTATTGACATTTTGTCTAAGTTGCTAGTATAGGTTCTTGCAACTGTTATGACACTGGTAAGTAAAAATGCTTCTGTAACAGCCATCTGAGTCCAGACAATTAAAATGAACTGTAGCAACCCTTAATTGGAGTATTTAGATTAGAATAAGCTAATGCTGAAATGGTGTGAATTACATAATTAACGTCTGAAGATTGTACCCTTAAAACTCAAATGAACCTTTAGTTTTTTTATAATAAATATGTTTACCACTGTGTAACATATTCCCTATAATTTCATATAATTTCATTATTTTCATAATGAAAATCATTAATTTGAACGTAGTTTTTTTGATACAAAATGCAGGTTAAACACAAAATTAGAGAATGCCTATTTTATTATAAACAAGTGGAGAAAAAACTGTTTTTGTAATAGTTTCTGTTCTTCGACAAAATTCGGCTATCTTATCATTTAAAGCTAATAAGGAGTTTTTAAGGATGATCATTAATAAGTAAAAAGTTTCTGCTTTTTTTTGTGAGAAAAATAGTCTTTTATGTCCACAAAGTAACTTTCAAAAATACTATTAGAATGAATCTAAGACCAATCTATATCGGTGGCTTCTTAATTAACAATCTCTTTGAGATTTTTAATGAAATACACGAGAAAAACATACATTTCATACACTTCAGGAAGAAAAAGCAGCCAGTGAGCACCAACTCAAAGTTACAAAAAGCTTGCTCAAGTTCTGCAATTGAGAAGACAAAGATATAACTGAAAGCGTGTAATTTGGGTCTTTGCAATCCAAATTATACACAGGAGTTGAGGAACGTCTCCACTCTTGGATTTTCATCTCCTTAAAATTTGATTTAAGACAATTTTTAAACATTATCCTCAATTCAAACAAGTAGGGCTACAGCTATTTATATACAACTCCAGGTCTTTCTGAAAACTGGATACTGCAATCCTGCTCACACAGACCAAGCAATTTTTTATTTACCCAAAACTTGTTTGGACATAGCTTTATTCTCACACCTGAGCAAGCCATGTGCAAATACTGCCTCAATATTGGGCTGGCATAGCTGAACACACTTCTGCTGCTCCATACTAAGTTCAAGGTGGTTTATAGAATCAGTAGCCAACATGGCTGCTGTCAATCAATTACACTCACTAAGACTTATTCTACGGTATTTCCACTTCCAATATCACTGACTTACAGGTAATCCTGGCTCACCAATTCCAGGAGGTCCTGGGAATCCAATTTTACCTTCTTGACCTTGAGCACCCTTGTGAAAAAGAATATTAGAAAGTTCAGTCCTAATTCAACTCGATGCATTTGAAAAGCTTAACATTTACATATAGATGACTTACTCATGTCACCAGAAAAGTCTGAAATCAAATGTGTAACATCTTCTGATGTAAAAAAAGCATAAATAACAATTTAGAAACATTTGAAAGTACCTTTCGATTAATACTTGGAGCACTAGATTGCATTCCATCTCTCATCACAACAGCAAAGGGGTGTTATCACTTTGCACAGGGGTACCTGCTTAAACACACAGGACCTGAGAGATGATAGGGATGAGGGGGTGATGTCGGGCTACATTTGGTTGCAGTACAACCAAACCATGCAGCAGGTATGCTCAGGTGTGAGGAATCCTCACCATAGCCCCTAGCTAGGCACTCGAACTGAAGCCTGCTTCAGTGAAGTATGGGATTGCACGGGAACTCCAGGCACTGAACAGCTTCTGTATCTTCTGTCTATAAAGTGTCATAATCTTCACAGTTCCTCCAGTTTACCGAGAACTATGAGCCTCAAGGATAAGGGCACACAGGATTTTTATCTCTCCCCAGAGCAGTACAGAGACTGGGAGTGACATTCCTTCTCCATAAACTATTTTCCCTTCTGGAATGACTCAGTGTTGTTCCTTTTACATGACAAATTACTAGCTTCTGAGCTATATAAACCCTCTCTGTGTTGCAGGGTCTGCCCCACTGCACAGAAAATATGCAGGGTTCATTGAATGCACAAATTACAGCAGTGAAATTATAAAAAGTGCAGGTATTTTAGACACTGACACTTAGGTCCAAAAATAAGGGAAAAAATGGCATAAAGCAACACCAAAGATTTAGCAGCCAAAAGAACTAGGGTGAAATCTAGTTCTGCCCACTTTAGATTTCTTGGTTGAGTCTGAGCTGTAGGTCTCTGACAAAACTCTCAGAAACTAAGTAGTCATGTCTCCTACATAGATGCCTTTGCAGTTTTCCAAAAGGAGATTTGGGTGGCCAGCATAGGCAGAGAGGACTTTTCCAAGCTAGCAAGACTGGATGCCACCTTCTAGTCTTTTGCAATTAAATAAGATGGAGGAATTAAATGCTGTATGAGAGAGAGAATTTTATAACCTACAAGAACATCTGTTCCCCAGTGAAGAACTAACAAGGCAAATCCATCACTTGACTGCATATCACAGTGACTGAGATGTATTTCCATGCTTCGAAGCATGGTTTATTCATTAGTGCAAGCATCTGCTAGTGCTTCAAAATGATCTCACATATTTAACTCCCATTTAAATGGCATTATTTCTGACTTCTTTTGTATCAATGGGATCATAATAAAAAGTTATAGCTGCTGGAAAGGTCTGTTATCTCCATCCTATGCAAATACGATAACCTGTCAATATTGTATCAGTTTTACATTTAGATGATAAGAGTTTGACTTTGATAAAACAGCAGGTGAGAACTTTTGTCCAGAAGATGACTGCCCACACTTAGCAATCTAACAGACATATTACTGAGAGTTACCTTGGGTCCTGGCTGTCCAACACCAGGGAGTCCTGGAGGACCATAGGGACCTAAAGGGCCTTGCTCTCCCTGGAGAAAAAAAAATGGAAAGAAATTATTAATGCAAATGGAACCTTAACCATATTCCACCAGAGTGTCATTCCACAGCCTCATTTAGGGCTATAGAAACATGTTTTTAAAGTAAAAAACAATCAAAAAACCCCCAAAAAACTCAGAACAAACAAAAAAAGATCAATGTCTTAAAGACAAATGCTTAGATTAGGAGCAGGGTCAATATCTTGGCCATACAAGTTGCTGGGATAGATAATAATGTTACAAAGCCATTCTTTCATAAGCATCAGGAAAGATAAAAATATATATTTATTCTTTGTAATATCTTTTGTCCTGACTTTATCCAATAATTTGGTGCTTCTTCAGCTTTTTTTCTTGCTAGAAATATGGGCATTTAGAAATTAAGCAGTGTTTATGCTTTAAACATTGCACTCAAGGTTCTTCCCATAGCAACAACTGAGTATCACAACTGCAGTTTCTACTGCTATCTTTGACTGCAGCTCCTAATTCTCTTGCATATTTAACAGGTTTCTAAAAATGCCAGTGTAGCCACACAACTATTACAAATTATTTTCAGCAAAACATGTTTATTTTCTGGGGAGGTATTGGGGAGGGGAATTTTGTGTATACTGAGAAATTTTATATGCTGAGTTCTGAAACCTTCCAATTAAATTTTTGAACTTGAAAGGTCAATGGAAGTATAAAACATGACTTCAAAGCTCCTCCTCCAGAAATCTACCAGTTTGTTTCTGCCAAAGAATGAAGCTAAGATGTAGGAATGGGAATATACAGTGAAAGCAAATAAACATACTATCCTTGAAGCTGAATTTCTAATAACTATACACTTGCAGTGCAACCACTGCAGCTTTAAACCTAGAAGAAGACGGAACATCATGCCTGTTAATTCCATTATAACAATTTTATAATATAATATTATATATTACAACACATTAGCATCATTTATTAATATAATATGATATAATATAAAATATGAAGTAATATTGTATTATATTGATATTCCATTATTTCCATTGTCTAACATTCTGCTCAAATTCTTTATTTCTCTCCCTACTGGGATTTTCCTTCAGGTGGCATCTACTATCAGCTAGAGCAGTGGGAAGGAAAATTACAGTTTTACAGGAAAATTATAGTTTTACATATTAAAACTGTACCATTTTAAGCTTGGAATATACTTAACAGTCTATCTCCCCCCCTCCCCCAAACAGTGTGTTATGTTGTGACAAGTACCGATTAGTGCCAATACAAATAACTTCTTTACTATTAAGAAAGCACATACCTACTGTAAGGGACACAGAGACTCTGCATTTCAGTCTATAATGCAATAATGATTAAGCTATAGTAAAAAATAATCTTTCAAATACAGTGATTTTATCTTTAAAGTAAACTTTGGCAACTACAATGAAGTAGATACAGATATTTTAACAGATATTTTCTACTTCTAAGCTAGCTGAGGTACCTAGAAGCTATACTTCTTTACAGGGAAATCGGATTTTTCAGTCTCTTGGGAAAGAAGTAACTTGCCTCATAAGTAAGGAAAGAATTTATAAGCCATCAGAAAAGCAGCAGCATCCCTTAGCAGTTCATTCTGGGACACATTTTCAGGGAAATACGCAATGATGGATTTTTCATAGAACTATCCCAAGATGTTTTTATCAGAACGTACCCACATTCAAACTTAACTGTTTCCTTACAAGTTTGAATACACGTCTGTTCATACAACTTTAGACTCTAATTCAGAATCTCACTATGCATATGAAATTTTCCAGAGAGGCTCTTACTATAGCAGTGGCTTTTAAGAATGCGTTGTTTTCAGTCTTTCCATGAATATATCATGATTTCTAGAAATGTGTACTTTATTTCTAGTAGCTGGTCTAAGAGTTTAAACAAACAAACCCAATGTCACATCTGAAATGATAACCACAAGTACTCCCTGTTCATCACTTCTTTATGAGTGGAACAGAGGTCATGCCCACCTCCTGATTTTATGCCCCAGTTTTATAATCTGTAACCATATCAATCTGTTTGTAAATTGTCCACTGAAATTTGCAAATAGTTACAATTATTCCTCCCACTAACAAACGCTTTTTCAAAATTACCTTGAGTGTAAACACTCTTACGGAACCTTACTGGTGATACTGTATATAACATGTTGTTGGCCGTTTGTGGTTTTTTTAAAAAATAAATATTGGTTAAGTATTTTTAATAAATTAATGAAAACAGACAAAATAATGCCTATTATTTTGAATAAATTAATAGACATATGCATGCTGAAAATTCATTTTTATCTAACACCAAGAATACTAGGGGATAGTGGATGTGCACATTTGACATTGTTGACATCAATGAGATACTTCAGCTTTGCAAAAGTGTAAGCAGCCAGAACCTTAGGGCTGAGAAGTTTGCTTAACCAAAAGAAAGGGCATTATATTAATTCTTAGAACTTTGTTTTCCAGAAAAACATGGTGATTACATTTCCTTTTTCAGAGGAAACCAAGATGCATGAAGTCCTTTTGTGTTAGAATATTTGCATTTTTCCTGTTTTTTTAATTGCTGTTGAAGGGTAAAGCTGTCCTGTAATGAGAAAATAACAACATAATATATGTGGTAATAAATAAATCCAACAAAAGTAAATGCAGTAGCCAGTTCAGATGCTCTTTTACTGTATTAACCAATGCAGTTAAGAGGTATGTAAAACCTAAGTACAAAAATGACAGAAAACAAGTTACTGGGAATGTTTGGAAGAGAGATGGGATTCTCACAAGATAATGTTTCTGGACACTACTGCTTATGATAGAATATATTACATTTATAGAGCAAGTAAATCTTTTGTTTCTATTAATACAGAATACTGACTTTACGTCCTGTGTTCCCTTTTTAAAGGCTCTGGCTTCCTGTAATGACTTCAATGTGATCTTTGTAGAGGCAAACCAAGCAAAAGCAACCGCAACTGATTAGATCCCCAAACCACCTATTAATCAGCCATCAAGGCAATTCCTGGCCAGCTAGGCAGCAATATGGGATATGACTGGAGCATACCCGAGAGTGGCATGGCTTTTCTCTTTACGGACTTGCTGTTTCTGGTACTTTTAGTCTTTCTCTAAGCAAGACGGTGTCTTCTGGGATTTTGGAAATGGGTGCATCAGCCAGCAAAATTGTATTGTGGGCCATCCTTGCATTCTTAGTCAGACAAGAAACACAAAATCTGAGTTTCTTGCTCCTATAAGCTGCAGTTCGACAAGAGTTGAGTGTCTCTATCTTAGACCCAGCGTTATAAATTGATGTTCTGCAAACTCAGTTCATTAATTGTGTGTGATAAAAGAACTACAAAATTCTTTCCTATGGGGTTTTTGTAATTTTCTTTACATGTTTTACAGCTGAATAAGGTATATGGTACACTTTGATTCAAGTTTTTGTTTTACATTACAGTGCAGATAATATGTGAAGCAAATGTCTAAGAAAATAAAAAGCACAGCTGTGAATTGCATTTTTTCTTGGTATTTTAAGTTGGTGAGAGAGAGAAAATAATGTAGACTTTGGCTTTAACAGCATAATTTTTCTTTCGTAAATTTAACGTCTTTCTATGGAAACATTGCTAATAGGCAGTAGAAAGTCAGTAAAACAGGAAACAAACTGAATAACACTCATCCTTTGCTCAGGACTTGCTTGGGGAACAGGGCCAAGATGACTGCTTCAGAAGACAGGAGATACACAGTGAAAATAGCCAGTTCCCAACTCCTACCTGTGTTTGAGTGAAATCTCCTGTTACTCTCTAATGTTTTTCTCTTGAAGTTATTATGTTCTGTACTAAGCCATAGGTTTGCTGTTAACATGCAAATTCAGCATTTTGTTAAATGGAAATACATTTAGTCAGGTAAATTAATAACAATATAAGATTAGTTAATGTGTATTTTTATTTTTATAGAAGCGGAGTTCAAATTTGTCATTTTAAATGCTTCAGCCTCTTTATGGAGAAGGTTTGTATGTATGGTAATAAAACTATTCAGCTGTTTGTGAGATGTTATAACTTCCAGCCTTCCAGTACATGAAGGGGGCCTACAAGAAAGCTGGAGAGGGACTTTTTACAAGGGCATGCAGTGATAGGACGAGGGCTAATGGCTTCAAGCTGAAAGAGGGCAGATTTAGATTAGATATTAGGAAGAAATTCTTTCCTATGATGGTGGTGAGGCACTGGAACAGGTTGCCCAGAGAAGTTCTGGATGCCCCCTCCCTGGAATTGTTCAAGGCCGGGCTGGATGGGGCTTTGTTCAACCTGATGTACTGGAAGGTGACCCTGCCCATGGCATGGGGGTTGGAACTAGATGATCTTTAAGATCCCTTCCAACCCAAACCATTCTATGATTATATGAATATAGCAAACAAGTTTGCTGTATTACTAGGTAGACCTTATTGTTTGGGTTTCCTAATACTATTTTCATGCAGCCTTTCGACCAGAGTCAAAAGTCGATTGATGTGTATCCAGATTATGGTAAATAATGCAATTTTTACTGATATAAAGCCAATTAGAAATTGACCCTTTTGTTCATAGCTGTTTTTTAACTCCTGTGTTTGTTTTGAAACTGATCAAATAACAACAGCAATTCCTCAAATGGCCCATCTTCTAGACTTCCAGTTCCTCCATGGGATTAATTTGGCGTTGAACAAACTGTCCTTTTAAAATC